AGATGGACACTCAAAGTTAGACCAGTGGGGAAAACGTATGCCGAGGGAAACTGGGAACTTGGCGTTTTCAGGCTTTCGTTACCCTGGTCCCATTGGAGGCAGCCTGTGGAAGCACCAGTTCTGAGTGTGTAAACGCACCACTCTTGCTGGTCTTTTGCACGCTCAGCCTCTCATTTCCCGAAGCAATTCTCTTAAACAAGTTTGTGGACAGAGTACATGTGTGTGTGTCGATTCGTGGAGGGTTGTCAACCACCTGTGTTTATGATCACATCTTTCCCCCTTCACCTATATACCTTTTTTGATGTTGAGGGTTCGGCCTGTGTCCTTGCACGTTCTGGGCATGCACTGTATAGCTGAGGTGTCTCTACCTCAGTATCTCCCTTTTGATTGGGTCCTTTAATCCATTCACATTTGCTGTCACTCTGGATATGACTGGACAGGGTCTCAGTTAGGGTTTCTGTTGCTGTGATGAAACACCATGACCAAAACAACTTGGGGAGGAAAGGGCTTATTTGACTCACACTTCCTGATTGTAGTCCACCACTGAAGGCTGTCAGGACAGGAACTCAAGCAGGGCAGGAACCTGGAGGCAGGAGCTGATGCAGAGGACATGGAGGGGTGCTGTTGACTGGCTTGCTCCCCATGGCTTGCTCAGCCTGTTTTCCGATAGAACTCAGGGCCACCAGCCCAGGGATGACACCACCTATAATGGGTTGGGACCTCCCCCACCAATCACTAATTTGCAAAAGGCCCACAGGCTTGCCTATAGTCCAATCTTTTTTTTTTTAATTTAAACTAGAGACAAGCTTGCTTCACATGTCAATCCCAGCTCCCTCTCCCTCCCCTCCTCCCACACCCCCACCATCTCCCCCAGCCTACCACCCAATCCCCACTCCGTTCCCCAGGGAGGGTGAGGCCCTGCATGGGGGATCTCCAGAGTCTGCCATTTCGTTCAGGCAGGGCGTAGGCCCTCCCCTAAGAGTTCAGGCGCCTACAGCCCAATCTTGTGGAGGCATTTTCTCAATTAAGGCTTCCTCCTTTTTGATGTCTCTAGCTTGTGTCAAGTTGACATAAAACTAACCAGCACAGACAGTAACAATTTCTGTTAAAAACAATTCTTAGATCATGTAGGTTCATTTATCACTTTTCTTTTCATTGTGATTATTATTTTTTATTACATTTTATAGTATAATGAATTTTACATTGTTTTTGTTTTAGTTACTCCCATTAAAGAAATAGCATTAAGGTTTTAAAAAGTAATTTAATTAACTTTATTTTATGTGCACTGGTGTGAAGGTGTCAGATTCCCTGGAACTGGAGTTACAGACAGTTGTGAGCTGCCATGTGGTTGCTGGGAACTGAACCAGGGTCCTTTGGAAGAACAGCCAGTGCTCTTAACCACTGAACCATCTCTCCAGCCCCTAGCCTTAAGTTTTTGATGGGCTAATGTAGATTAATTTGGGGGAAATGTTCATAGTTTAATGGTGGATTTTATCATATACTTACTTAGTGTGTATGTAATAGTGTATTTGCCTGTGTAAGTTTTATTCTACATATTGCTTTTTAAGACATGTATAAGTATAAAGTAATATGTACGTATCTATATGATGTAGATATAAAAGTTATATAGTTTTGTATTGCTTATTAATGGGGACATATAAGACCTTGAATGTGGCAGGCCCCTAGCAAATGTCTTACACTTTATCATTTCTTTTTTCTTGACTATACCTCCTCTTGTTCTAATTGCTTGCCCCTTGTACTTTTGAATTCCGCTGTATTCTTAGGGTCTATAAAAGACACTGAGGCTCTAGGAATTACATCCAGAAACCCTTTGAGCAGTGGTTGTCAACCTTCCTCATATTGAGACCCTTTAATACAGTTCCTCATGTGGTGGTGACCCCCAACCATAACATCATAACCACTGTTACTTCATAACTGCAATTTTGCCATTCTTATGAATCATCTTGCAAGTATCTGGTATGCAGGATATCCGATGTGCAACCCCTGTCGTTGTTTGACCCCAAAGGGTTGAGAACCGCTGTTAATCATTGCTTGCTCTTCCTCTTATTCTTCTGTCTGGTTTCATTGCCACACTCAGTCCTTCCTCCTCCAAAGTGGCTGTTCTGGAACTCACTCTGTAGACCAGGCTGTCCTGGAACTCAGAGATCCACCTGCCTCTGCCTCCCAAGTGCTGGGATTAAAGGTGTATGCCCCTGAGGTGCCCCCCCCCCATGGATGACCCACTCACTGATCTGTTCCAGTTGCATTTCTCATCATCCGTAGCAGGGACATTCAACTGCTCTTCCCAGACACACCTGTGGCTCTATGTGCTGTTTGGCTTTTTCTTGTGGAAATGTAAATAAATGCTCATTCATCCCAGCAGGGTACCAATCATAGGCCAAGGAAATGGTTCTGTTTTTCGCTCCAGTGTAGTTTAGTGAGCTGGTGAGATTACTGAGATTGCTTATAAAGTATGGATGAGCATCACATACAGGAGCAAGGATAACCAAACAGCTGCATCTCTGAAAGTTCATCACAGCATGAATGATGATGACTCCAAACACTATCGCTGGAGCCTAAGATCACACAGTCACTGTACTGTTCATCTTTATTTTATTTTATTTTTTATTTCAGGAGCTGATGTCATTCGAGGATGTGTCCATTGATTTCTCCCCAGAAGAGTGGGAATGCCTAGACCCTGCTGGGTGGAATTTGTATAGGGATGTGTTGTTGGAGAATTACAGAAACCTTGTCTGCCCCCAGTCCCCACATGACTCATCAAATAATACACTCCTCATTTAAAAATTTTATAATGTGAATGCCAGTGAGCTTCAGACAGATTCTGGCATGATGGAACTTGAGCAACCATTGCTCAGGTCAAATGGAGACATCCATGCACTAGACAGTGGAGAAGACCCTAATTTGGGGTCGAGGGCATGTTTGTGTTTTCTTGCAGGAAAAGAATAAAGCTTCGGCAGCTGTCAGACCATTTAGTGAGATACATGGAGCAGAGAAAAACTGGACCTGAGACCATGGGAGCCTACCTAAGCCAGTTTGAGTGAGATCTCCTAAATCAGTGTTCTTGACCCTTGATGTCATCGAATCTACAGCCCAAGAAAGAAAGAAAACAGTCGGTTCGAGATTTCCAGTTTCTCAACAGACCTGCTGCATTAACCTTCCGGACCCGTGAGTTTTCATCCCGAAGCCAACAGAGAACTGGAAAGACTAACTGTCTGCCCTTGACACACCTTGAAACAACAGAATTCATTTTGCCAGTTTTCCCTTTAGGGGAAAAAAGGACCCATTTAAAATATTTGGACATTGGTATGGACTATGAGTGGCAAAAGCCTCTTTTCAGTATTTGAACAGGACATGGTCACTTGAAATATCAGACTTGATGGTTCCTGCTTCTGGAATCACGACTAGGCCAGTGTATTTTTCTGGAGAAATGCAACTTGTCCTAATGCGACAACTATTGTTCATATTTTTCGTAATGCTACATGTGTAACATCAATGATTATGCCCAATGTATCTGTGCAAGTGCACTTTCTAAATGCTTTCCTGAGCAGATCTTGAAACGATTGTAAACTTTATCAAATTGTAACAGAATGTAAATCACGTGCATGTTACCCTTGTAACAAATGAAGGCTGGTAGAATGTTATGGCCCAGATCTGGTGATGGGTACGGTGATGGAGAGGCGCTATGTCAATGGGGGTCCTGGAAATGGTGGCAGTGGCAGTAGGCATTCTGGCTTTATGCCGAGCTCAAACGTGCCTTGTTCCAGAGGCAAGAGATCCGTAACCAAGTATTGCTTAGCTTAGCCCATGGCAATCCCGATAGCCATGAAGGTTGGTTACAGATGATTTAAGATTGGGGTGTCTCCGACGACGGGCAACCTGTGGGGAAGACCCCTCCCACCTAAGACAGGGGTTCAAGGTCCCCCAGAGACGGGAAAGGGAGGGTGACCCTACTTGACCTAAGCCAGGAGTGCCTCATTTGAAAATAAAAAGGGGTGAATTGTGGGAACACCAGACCTTGAGCAGAGACCCACTTCCCCTTCTGCCTGGGAGTAGGCAGCTGTAGACAATGTTTAGTAAAAACATGTTTACTAAAAACGATACAATAAGTTCCTGGAAAAGGCCTTCCCACAGAAACCGCCCTGACCTCGACCTTGTCCAAAGACTAACTGCACCTTCAAAAACCCACACACTTCCACCTCTGGGGTCAGAGCAGAACCAGCCAGGGTAGAGGAGAGAGCAGAAGCTTCTCTGGTGGGAGCTTTTCTTAGGAGGTTTTCTTGAACCTTTTTGGAGCCTGTTAAAAGTTTTCTTTATATCGTTGAACGAGTCTCTGTGTTGTCAATCCCCGACACCCTCCGCACGTTCTCAGACACAGGCCGAGAAGCAGACGCGACACTTGTCTTCCTGGGTGAGAATCTCTCCCCTACAGAATTCTTTTGTTGTTGTTATTGGTTTTTTTGAAACAGGGTTTCCCTATATTCCTTTGGAGCCTGTCCTGGAACTCTCTCTGTAGACCAGGCTGGCCTCAAACTCACAGAGATCCGCCTGGGATTAAGGGTGTGGGGCACCAATGCCAGGCCGCTACAGAATTCTTAACTCCCTTCCTTTGTAGAATGTCTTTCAGGAGCTTCCATGTCTCACAAATGCACAGACGAGAGCCTTTTAAATTGTATTTCCTTCTAAAATCTCCTTTCTTGAGGGAGTATGTTACTTTCGATCTGAATTGGTGTAATTTTAGCAATTTGATGGCACGAAGATTCATAGACTGCACCTTTAATCCCAAACATTCCCTTTAATTTACTCATATGTGCAAAAGAAGCCTTATCTCCAAACTGAAAATTGTTCATGTGTATTCTCCTGTGTCTGGTAGGAAGCAATCAGGGAAATGATTGGTAGAGTCTCCTATTGTCTGCCCTCATCCCGCCCCCAGCACAGTGTGAGCTAGGAAAATCCCAAGCATCATTTCTGTTTTCCAATGAACAGGTCTTGCTGTGTGTAAACCTTACCTGGTCACATTTCTGGAGCAGAGGAAGGAGCCTTGGAGTGTGAAGAGACAAGAGTCAGGAACCGTATGTCCAGGTAGGTAGGCACGAAAGAACCGAGGACACAGGTGAGCAGTCCAAAGACCCAGGAGGAAGACAGGTTTTGGGATGGAGATTGGAAGTCTGAGTCGGTAGAAACAATTTTGAAAGGGACTGCATTTGTTCCTTTTGCTAACAAAGACGGCTGCCTTGTCTTTGTCACACGGCTCAGTCTTCTGAGTCTTCTTTAGTGACCTCACTGCACGTCGTCAGTGACAGCAAAGTCCTTTCTCCTCTGATTTTCCTTTCCTTTCTTTGTGAGCCTCACAGATTTATCCGTTAAGCCATACAAATAAAATATTAACACCAAAAAGAAGTCTTTCAGGCCGGAGAGATGGCTACGAAGTTAATGACACTTGCTGTCCTTCCAGATGACCTGAGTTTCATTTCCAGCACCCACATCAGGCAGCTCACAACGGCCCGTCCAGGGGATCTGACGCCCTCTTCTGGCCTCCATGAACACACTCACACATGTGGCATGCCTTCACACAGACATGCACACACATGTAAATTAAAAAGCTTGTTTAATGCCAATCATATATTTATTCATTACTGTTGCTGTACCAGAGCCTTTTCTTCTTGCTTTTAAAAAGATTTATTTATTTATTTTATGTATGTGAGTAATCTATCTGTACATATGACTTTTGTCAGAAGAGGGCATCAGATCTCACTATAGATGGTTGTGAGGCACCTTGTGGGTGCTGGGAATTGAACTCAGGACCTTTGGAGGAGCAGCCAGTGCCCTTAACTGCTGAGCCCTCTCTCCAGCCCCCTTGTACCAGAGCTTTTCATGTGTGATTTTCATGCCTTTTTTTTGTTTTGTTTTGTTTTTTGGTTTGGTTTGGTTTGTGGGTGTGAAGTTTTTTTTTAAACCCCTAATGTCAGTCATTTAAAATGCACATCCTTCATGGACATATTGTTACATTTGAAAATTGTACTTATCTGGGAGGCATTTTTCATAGTACATTGTTGATTGTTAAGAATTTTATGACGGGAGGGCTGGAGAGATGGCTCAGAGGTTAAGAGCACTGACTGCTCTTCCAGAGGTCCTGAGTTCAATTCCCAGCAACCACATGGTGACTCACAACCATCTACAATTCAATCTAGCGCCCTCTTCTGGTATGTAGGCAGAATACTGTATATGTAATAAATAAATAAATCTTTAAAAAATTGTATGACGTAGTTTTTTTTCTTGTTTTTCAATTCCATGGTCTGTGCTCTATTTTATTTTAGAATTGGTTCTTTCACACCAGCTGATAATAATTTTAGTTTTTATGCTATATATTATCATTGGCTAGCAGTTTTTAATACGGTATACATTAGGACAACATAATTAGTAATAAATGAAATTGAAGCCTATTATTGCTATAGTTCCAATAAGATTGCACATACTTCCATTCACTTTTGTAAATATTCTGAGAGAGAGAAACTTTGCTAACGATATAGCTCTATCTGATTACACTTGCTTAACATAAACACGTACCACAGAAAATGAAGTAAATAAGCAAAAATGGAACCATCATTTAATCTGGCTATTTTACTACAGGATTTATGGCCAAATAAGATTAAATCACACACCAGAGAAATCTCCATGGCCATGTTTAGGATGACATGGTCAAAGTCATGACGCAGATAAAATCAGAGTTTTCCTTCAGTGAGTGGAAGCACATGTAGTCTTCAAAAGATGGAATCTTATCATTTGGTGCAATGTGAGAAGTGTCTAAAATAACCAAATTCAGATAGATGATTACTGCACAGTCTCATTCATATGTGAGCTCTAAATGTAATCTCAGATATAAAGAGAACATAGTGGTATCTACTAAGGGTCGTGTTAACTTCAGGAGAGGGTTGGATAGCGTTGTTCAGACACAACAAGGTCTTATTTGACCAAGCATAGCAAGCGCAGTACGGGTACTACTGTGCAGCGAGCTAGTCTGGGTGGTATACCGCATTCTCGTGAAATGCCAACAGAGGGTGTATAAAGGGTTTGAAGCACAAAAATGATGTCATATATTTAAAAACCTCATGATGTACATGGCAAAGTACATTCATTTTTACTATATAAATAACAATTCAAATTAAAAGTCTATACTTTTTTTTTCTGTTCTGTGGATGGGGATCATTTGGGTAATGTTTACATCCATCAACTGTGCTAGAGTTCATTTGAGTCCCTAAATTTGTTTTTGTTGTCTGCTTTCTCTGGGCTTATATTTTTATTTTCCCTGTTTGAACAGTTTGAGCATATTTCTCATTTTAAAGTGTATTTATTTTTGTTTTATGTGTATGAGTGCTTTGCCTGTGTCCCTGTCTGTGCGAGGGTGTCAGATCCCATAGAACTGGAATTACAGACAGTTGTGAGCTGCCATGCGGGTGCTGGGAATTGAATCTGGGTCCTCTGGAAGAGCTGTCAGTGCTCTTAACTGCTGAGCCATCTCTCCAGCCCCTTGAACATGGTTTTTTTTTTTTAAGATTTTATAATCTCGATGGGTGGTAGTGATGAATGCCTTTAATCCCAGCACTCGGGAGGCAGAGGCAGGAAGATCTCTGTGAGTTCAATACCAGTCTGGTCTACAAGAGCTAGTTCCAGAACAGCCTCCATAGCTACGGAGAAACCCTGTCTCAGAAAACCAAAAATTTTGTAATCTCTCCTACCCCCATTGACTAAGCTACTGACATCTCTTGGATACTGCAATAATCTTTTAGTTTTTGTGTCACCCTCCCTGAGATGTAATCTGAAATATCTATTAGTCTTCTATATTGTGTGGCAGCATATACAGAAACCAGTTCCCAGATATCCCTGAAGAATTCCAGAACTGTGACAATGTGTCCATTTTTTTCCTTCCCAAGAAGTGAGAATGGTGCTGGAAGATTTAAAATCTTTTACATTTTTGTTATGATGACCACAAGGTCAGATTGTGACCTTTGGTTCTTCTTCCTTCTCCCTAGCATGAGTGCGGGGTAAAAGCCATTCTTTTAAAAAATGTCATAGGGGAAGGTAACGGAAACTGTAGCCTTGACAGTTTGTGTTAAGGAAAGAATGGGAATGTGTGGGTGACTACAACAATCAGGAAGCTTGGTATACTGGAAGTAATAGTGTGATAACTGTCCATAATAATAACTTCACTGCAAACAGGGCTTTCCTACATAGAGCAGTCCAGAAAGCAACTCAGGTTATGGCAGTTTTTTTAAATCATTTTTTATTTTAATTTTTAAATAGCTTGTTTTACATGTCAATCCTAGTTCCCTCTCCCTCCCCTCCTCCCGCACTCCCCTTCCCCCCCAGCCTCCCACCCTATTGCCAAATTATGGCAGTTATTAAGGAGCAATATGTGTATATAAATAAATATATACTCCGAAAAACATTTTCCAAATAATATTCAGGAACTGGTTAAACAATCCTATTTCATGCTTTAATTAATATCTTTAGCAATTTCAAATGTAGTATTGCATTAAATTTATTCAAATATTTCTGTAAAAAATAAATTTTAAAAATGAACTGTTGGGGGGGTGCTGGAGAGATGGCTCAGTGGTTGAGAGCCCTGGCTGCTCTTCCAGAGGACCCAGGTTCAAATCCCAGCACACCCACATGGCAGCTCATCACTGCCCCCACTTCCTGTTTCAGGGGATTTGACACTCTCACATAGACATACATGCAGGCAAAGCATAAAACAAAGATAAATAAATTATTTTAGAAAACAAAGAGCCAGGGACTGGAGAGATAGTTTGGCAGGTAAGAACACTGGCTGCTGAAGTTTGAGTACTGGACTCTGGATCTCAGCTGTCATGTTTCAAGTTGGGCACCTTCCTATATGCCTCGGTAATTGCAGCATTAAGAGGGGCAGAGATGGGAGGATCACTGTGGCTTGATGGATGCCAGCTTAGATGCAAGCCATAAGCTCCAATTTGGAAGAGAAAAACAAAAAGACAGAGAGTGCTAGAGAAGGACTCCCACGCCTTTCTCTGGCCTTTCTGAATACACATAAGGGCATACCACACACACACACACACACACACACACACACACACACACACACACACACACACTCAGCCATTTCTAAATGTGATTGATCAGATTCTTTTTGAAAGAGTCACTATTCTATCATTAGTAAACGAGTTTTCCTTGTGCCAGAAATACAAATTTAATAAATATAAAGAAGTCATCCCCTCCTTAAAAGTAGGATCTCACTCTGTAGACTAGGCTGTCCTGGAATTTTCTATATACTTCAGGTTAATCTTGAACTCATGGCAATTCTCTTGTCTGGGCTTTTCAAGTGCCAGTATTATAGGTGTGAGCCACTGCATACAGTTTAAAATTCCATTTTTCCTAACCTGAATGCAAGTAAGGACATTGTGAAAGTTTTGTTCATGTATAATGAAAGCCATCAGGGAGTGTCCTGTCCTAGGTAACTATAAAGATATTTATATTGATGAGAAAAACTTGTTAGTACAAAAATATTCACAACTGGAGTCATGGTTCAAATTGTAGCACACATCAGTGCACTCTTTTTCCAGAGAACCTCTGCAAATATAGCCAGTCTGGGAAAGACTTCGTTCAACACTCAGAACTCGCTACCCATCCATGTCTACGTGTTCAAGATAAGCCTCACAACTATAGCGAATGTGACAAAGCTTTTATTGTTAGCACAACTTCTAATCAACAGCAGAGGGCTCATAAAAGAGAGAAGTTTTACCAATGTGCAGAGTGTGGCAAAGCCTTCAATAATAGTTCAAACCTTACTCGACACCAGATAATTCACACGGGAGAGAAGCCCTATACTTGTCAGGAGTGTGGCAAAGCCTTCAATAATGTTTCAACCCTTACTCGACACCAGATGATCCATGCTAAAGAGAAACCCTACAAATGTGAAGTATGTGACAAAACCTTTCACTGCTCTGCATACTTTAACCAACACCAGATAATTCATACGGGAGAAAAACCCTATAAATGCCAAGAATGTGGCAAAGGTTTTTATTACCGTTCAACCCTTACTGGACACCAGATAATCCATACAGGTGAGAAACCCTACACATGTCAAGAGTGTGGCAAAGCCTTTAATAATAGGTCAACCCTTGCTCGACACCAGACGACCCACACCGTGGAGAAACCCTACACATGTCAAGTGTGTGACAAAGCCTTTCACTGCTCTGCCTACTTTAACCGACACCAGAAAATTCATGCGGAAGTGATTGCACATGCGTGTAAAGAATGTGGCAAAGCCTTTAGTTACTCTTCACAACTCAATCGGCATCTGAGGAGTCACACCAGAGAGACGCCGTATATATGCAAAGATTGCGGCAAAGCCTTTAGCAGATCATCGCAGCTTAACCAGCATCTGACTCTACACGCTAGAGAGAAGCCCTATAGGTGTAAGAAATGTGGTATAGCCTTTAGTTGTCCTTCAGAGCTGAGTCAACACCGGCCGAGTCACGCTGTGGAGAAGCCCTACAAATGCGAGAAATGTGGAAAAGGCTTCAACTGCTCTTCATACCTCAACCAGCATCAGAGGTTGCACACGGGAGACAGCCTCTACAGGTGTAAAGAGTGTGGCAAGGTTTGTAACTGCGCCTCGCACCTTGTTCAGCACCAGCGGGTTCACACTGGAGAGAAGCCCTATAGGTGTGGAGAGTGCGGCAAAGCGTTTAGCTGTTCTTCACGCCTTCACCGGCACCAGCTGACTCACACCAGAGATAAGCCCTACCCGGGTCAGGAGTGTAACAAAGCTTTTCAGGACAGCTCCACACTTTCTCGGCACCAGAGAATTCACACTGGAGAGAAGCCCTACTGATGCCAACGGTGTGGGAAAGCCTTTAACAGCTGTTCAAATTTCACTCGTCACCAAAGGACTCATATGTGAAGGGACCGCGACACAGGTGAAGACCGTGGTGAAGGGAACTGGATAGATAGGGTGGCCGGCCGGTTAAGGGCATGCACGGCTTTTGTGGAGCCTGAGTTCGGTCCCCAGTATCCATATTGGAGGCTTAGAGCCACTTAGAACTCCACCTCCGGCCTCCGAGGGCACCTGCACTCATATGCACATGCTCCCACACAGGCAAACTCACACATAAGAAAGAGCGCGACAAAATAGGTTTAAGTTATTGAACACCAATTTACAATTGCACTGATCAAATTCCATCTATTTTCTTCACAGATCACGCAGTGGATTTTGGAATGTTGTATAGATTGTATGTGAACTTTGTTTTAGTCAATAGATAACGATTCTTAATGTTTTATCATTGGAATATATTGAATGACATCTCATTGTGTCACAGACATTGAACTACTGTGCTCAAGAATGCAGGTGGCAGATCCTACTTAATAGGGTATTGAGAAACCTATTGAACATATATTGAAATATATTGAATGACTCATAGTTCATTTTTGTGGGGACACCAGACCTTGAACAGAGACCCACTTCCCCTTTGGCCTGGGAGCAGGCAGCTGTGAGATAATGTTTACTGAAAACAATTCAGTGCTATAAAGCTCTTGATAGGGCTCAGATAAGGGCTCACTCACTGAAACACCATGGCTTTGGCACCCCCTACGGCTAGATGCTTCTTCCTGTTCCCCCTGCTGTTTCTCCCCGATTCTGGGGCCAGAGATTAAACCACCAGCCAGGAGGGTGAGAAGTCTGGGAGAGCTGTTGGAGAATTGTATGTAGATGGATGGCAGAAGTCCTTAAAAAGGGAAGTGTTTTTTCTTGGAGAGTTCTCCTCCTAAGCTGACTGGGGAAGCATAAAGTTTTCTTAAAGCAACCGACCGGTCTCTGTGTCATCTATCCCGACCACCTCGCTACATTCTCGGATGCAGGCTGCACAGCAGGTGCGACACATTTTCCCAGTTCCCTCATGTATTAAAGAATTTGGAAGAGATTATTCTTATATGAATAACTTTTATTCATACTTTTTAATAAGTATCCAGAAACTATGAGGGTTATAGGAGAATAATAACATGTCGTGCTATTATGAATCTTGAATTGTTATTCATAAAACTTTACCACCCCCATATCACCTTTTTGGTTTCAAAGCACACATAAACATTTGCTATCCATTTATGCAGACTCAGGTGTCCAACTCTTATGGTCTAATGGTAAATTTTAGGAGAATTGTAGATAGGTCTGTTTGAATAGCGATTTTAAGAGAATTAAAGCATTCTGTATAGAATTAATGAACTGTTAATTTTAAAGAGTTGATAAATTATGACTAACTGGAATCCTCACATATTCTGAGGGGGATATTTTTACTTTGTTTTCACTGAACATATTTCTTCAGAATGACATAGTTCTTCGTTTAGAATTTCCTGTAATTAATTAATCTTGATTTACCTGTTACTCATGGAAGACATAATGTATGATTTGCCTCATGAAGTTTGTGACTTTGTTTATATAACCCTTACCATATTTTAAGAAGACGTAATTAAATTTTATATTAGGAACTAATTCTAAGATACTATGCCAGAGTGTGAACATACACAGAGATGTTGTGGAATATTATTTTAACTAGGCAAAGATGTGTTACATTTGTTTATGCTGCCTTTCCTTAACTGTGTAAAGATGTGTTACATTTGTTTATGCTGCATTTGTTTAATGATGTAAAGATGTGTCTCTGTTTCACCGTGCCTACCTAAGGTACCTGATTGTTCTAATAAAAAGCTTAACAGCCAGTAGTTAGGCAGGACAGCCAGTAGTTAGGCAGGAGAAGGATAGGTAGGACTGGCAGGCAGAGAGAATAAGTAGGAGGGAAAAAACTAGGCTTGAGAGAGGAGAGAGAAGAGGACAAGGGAGAAAGAGAGGAAGACGCCTGGGCTGAGCCAGGCAGCTGCCAGGCAGCAGGCCCAGAGCCGGACAGATGGAAAGAAAGGCAAAAAGCCTTGAGGCAAAGGTAGGTGAAGAGAAGCATTAACTAAGAAAAAAAGTTAGCTAGAAACAAGCATAAGCTAAGGCCAAGCATTCATAACGAATAATCTAAGTCTCAGTGTCATGATTTGGGAGCTGCTTGGTGGCCCCCAAAAGAAAAAACCTGCTACATTTGGTGTTCCAGCATGGGCCTGAATTTCCACATAGAGACTGAGAATGCTGAGGAGGAGGAGGAGGAGGAGGAGAGAGAGAGACATACACAGACACAGAGAGACAGAGAAAAGGCAAAACAGATCCAGTTCCCTTAAGAGGCTCTGCTATATACACCGAGCCCTTGAGCACCTAGCATGGTAATTAGAAACAGTGGGCTAAGTAAAAACACCTGCCACAGTGAGAGCACCCACTTCCTAGAGTTGGGGTAATTGAACGCAGTTCCTGGTTTAAAAACGCAGTTCTCAGCCAGACCCATGGGGTGTAATGTTTGGTTTCACGACCTGAGCAGGGTAGAGCCAGCCAACAGGGCTGCTAGTGAAAAGCCGCTTAGCAGTTTAAAGTTTGGCTCATGCGGTCAGAAAAGGATAGAGATACCCGGTAAAGTAGGCTCAAATGGAAAAAAAAACTCTAAACAGGTTACAGTGTTTTTAAGAAAGAAAAGGAAAAGAGTATAGACAGCCGTAGCAAAAATAAATAGTTTAAAAATAATAAGTCTTTAAAGAAACAATAGAGTAATATAAAAAGGATAAACCATGTAAAGATGAAAACTGATCAGGGAGTCTGGATCCTGTATGGTATTGAGTTGACTTTGAAGTTTTTGAATGCTGATGGGTGGAAGCCAGCTGCTGAGAGGTTGGGCTCACAACAGGGACTGCTGAATTAAATCAAGCCCGAATACTTTAGGAATGCCTTAACTTTAAAATGGAAGTCGAAAAATGTACTGTTTTGGGACAGTGGTCATGCTTTTGTTCCCACAGGAAACAAAGGCTGTGGATTCATTCAAGATTGACAGAGATCAGGTTTGATTCGGGGAGACCCCTGTATCTTGGCTACAGATAAAAAGAAATAAACCTAGAAAAACTACAAGACTGGTGATGAATATTTTATCTGTTCAAACATAAAACAAAATAAAACAAAACCCATCTTTGGATGGCTTGTGTAGAATGCACAGTCCGTACTTATGTTACAGCAGATATGTATGTTACCTTTGGAAGTTGATGTGCTTTCAGAGTAAGGAGACCAGACACAATGGGAACAGGTGGCCCAGGTGATTCAGCTTTTCAGAGTGCCTGTGTTGCAGTTTCTTCAGAGTTCTGCATCCAGAACAGCTTCAAGGCTGCTGGCTGAGATGGTCCAGCCTCATAGACTATTCTAGCCAGGACTGCAAATAAGCCTTGTGCTTTTCCATTGCACTGGACAACAAATGTAACTAGTTTTCCCAGGACTTGACCATTATCTCAATTTTCTCAGGTTCCCTAAAGGTTGTCTTTGCCCACAGAACACAGGAAGCAGTCTAGAGAACACAATGCCTATGTTCCCAAGAGGTGGGGTGGGTGGTTTTTGGACATTCAATGGGTTATGGATGCTTGCCATTGTTTAGGTGGGGATAAAGGAATATAGTATAAAAAGACAACTATTTTACATTGGTAGGCAAGTCCACTGTTCTGGTAGCTCTCTACTTCCTGGTCTTGTGGGTGGAGAAATGGACTAGGATGCTGGGGTGCTTTGGATCCCACTGGGATGGATGGGAGCCTGAGTGGTAGACCCCAGGCACAGGAGTGTGGCCTGGAGTCAGGCTCTGATAGTCTTAGTCACGTTGGTGGAGCAGGAGACTAGGATGCTAGGGTGAGTTTGCTCCTGCCTCTGGGATGGAAACCACTGTGGCAGTCCCCGAGCACCAGCAGCTGGTCTAGTCCTAGTTCCTTGGGTGGAACAGAAAACTAGGTTACCTTGGCTCCTGCCGTCTCTGCCAGGGTTGAAACCTCAGTGGCAGAGCCCGGGCCCAGGCAGGGGGTCCGGAAATCGGCCCTGGCTTACCTGGACCCGTGGGTGGGGCAGGAGACTAGGGAGCATTGGTTCCCACCACTGGGATGGAAGATGCAGCCACAGACCCCAAGCACCGGCAGCCAGTCTATTCCTGGTTCCCCCTAGTAGATACTTAATGTAGGAGGACCCAGCTCACTCCTTATAGTGGCATTTGTAGGCAGGTAGTGCCATTCCTAGGCAGGTGGGCCTAAGAATAGTAGTTGAACAAGGCCTGGAAAACAAGCCAGGAAGCAGTGATCCTTTTTTTTTTTTTTTTTGGTTTTTACGAGACAGGGTTTCTCTGTATTGTTTTGGAGGCTGTCGGTCCAGCCCGGCCTCGAACTCACAGAGATCCACCTGCCTCTGCCTCCCGAGTGCTGGGATTAAAGGCGTGCGCCACCACCACCCGGCTAGCAGTGATCCTTTTGTAACAGGCCTCCAGAACTTAATACAACTGACTCCATGATGAAAGTACCATTCAAGCCCTAATCCTGAACACATCCACAACACCACTAGCCAAAACGAAGACAAAGACCTAATCCATGGAAACCCATAGTTCTGGGAAAGTCTTTAAATGTACTAACCTTGTCTTTTGGTTTCTGTGGTTCTGCTTTTGGCCAACTGTTCTTGCATCTGAAGTATGCCAACCCCGGATATGGTTTTTGTGGTTAACAGCTTATCATGAGAAAGGCTCAGGGTGACACTGGGATCCCGAACACCCAGTAATTGCTGGCTGGATAACAAAAACTTTCTATTGGCTTTAACCCATGTTCAAATAGTCTTCTCTGGTGGATGGATAGCCCACAGCATTTCCGGAGGTTGTACAGATGGGTCTAGTGATCTGTAGTATGAATTATCGGCACCCTACCCTACTTGCTCTTCTTTGAAAGCTGTTATTTATGTGACTCCATTTATCTTACATAATTTCTTAGGAATCAAGCTTTAATCTGCACCGGATTAAGAGGCTTTCATTTCCTGTCAACTCGTCTTTCTCAGTGAAAGCTGATCTGTTTGATTTATGATCTGAAATGCCCCAAAGCCATCTTCCTTCCCCTCCTCTTTCTTCTCTTTTCTCATTCTTTGATCAGCTTCACACATTGTAGGGCTATCAGAGAAGATAGAGCCATAATTAAGAAAATACCTCCATGTGACTTGGGTACAGGCGAGTCCGTGGGGGGCGTTTTCTTTAGAGGTTGTGGGTCCATCCCATTGTGGGTGGTAGTCCTGGATTCCCTAAGAAAGCAGGTTGAGTAAGTCAGTAGGCAGCACCTCTCCACAGCCTCTGCCTCAGTTCCTGCCTCCAGGTTCCTGCCCTGTTTCAGTTCCTGCCCTGACTTCCTTCAGTGTTGAACAGTGATGTGGAAACCGAAGCAAAACAAACCTTTTCCTCCCCAAGTTGCATTGGCCGTGGTGTTAATCACAGCAATAGTAACCATAAAGACCATAGTCAAACTGGTAACATCCAAAGATTAACTGAAAATTAGGAAAGAAGCAAAACCAATACATATATAGGAAAGTATGATCTCTGTTACAGAAATGTGTAATCAAGAATAGAAATTAAAATGAAGCTGGTGTGGTGGTGTATGTCTCTAATCCCAACAGACGCCAGCCCGACCTACAGAGTGAGTTCCAGGGCATCCAGGGAAACACAGAGAAATCCTGTTTTGAAAAATCAAACAATCAATCAATCAAACAAACAAACAAAAAGGAAGTTACAACTTTTAATTCAGAGAAAAAGAATGTAATTATAGGATTCTGTATTAAAAAAAAAGATTCTGTATTCATCAGAGTATTCTTTCCAGAACAAAGTGGAAATCATGTTAACATGCCAGTTTCTTATCACAAGGTCAGAAATGAAAATTACAATTTGTAAATACCAGATATTTAATAGGGATTTGAAGGAGCTATAAGGGAATGAATGCAAAATATACAGAAATTGGTCAAAATACATTGTACGAAATTCTCAGAGAATTTCCAAAAAATATTTAGAAATAAAACAAATAATAAAATAAAAATGTGTGCAGCAAAGACGTGTCATTTTGTCCTTACTCAACCTGGAAGTGGTAATCAATCAATTATGCACTGTCAATTAAGGCCCTCGGCAGCCTGGGAGTGTTCTCCATTCAGGGCCACCAGACTGAGAACTGCCCCTGAGATGGGCTTCAGCCTTGGCTGGCTTTGTACCGGGCGTCGCCAAGGTGTCGCTGTAGCCGGCCAGCCTGTGACCTCATTACTTGGACTCCCAGGAGGACCCCTAGACACCTCGGAACCCGGGCACTCCGGAACGGGTCTCCAGAACGGAAACCCGGAGACCCCGGAACGGGACACTGCGGAACCCGGACACCCCGGAACGGGACACCGCGGAAGCAATTCGTTACGGAATCCGGACATGGTGAGTCGCGGCCCGGCCTCCCAGGAACCCGGGCTGCGCGGCATCCGCAGCGGTTCGGGGTCAACGGCGGAGTCGCAGGTCCATCCCTTCTGGGGCGGCTCTGGAGGCTCGCAGCCAGGGCACAGGCGTGGCAGCCCGGTGACGGGGTCTTGGGGGACAACCCGGCTCCCTGCGTGCATGCGGGTCCTGCCTGACAGCTCTGGGCTGGGGCCCTCGAGCCCCCTTCTGAGCACCCTGACTTACGGGCAGCACCCACCCAGGACAGTAAACTCCCAAGGCTTTCCCACGCCAGCTTCCTGTCTCCACACTAAACTGTCCCCGCGTAGATTTCAACCAGATTCTGTGCTTTTTTTTCTTTAATGCCCCCGCCCCCCTATGCACATCGAGGGGCAAATTCGAAAGGACTTGTGATCGTGAAAGGTGCGCCAGAGCTGAATGCACGGGGTTAGTTATTGGACTCCTGGGGAAAGTTCTCCCGTCACACTTCCCTTATCTTCCCTAGGCACAGACGGCTTTGTCGTGGTGTCTGGGTTGAGTTTTCCCCTGGCTGACTGTCAGAGGCGGCGTGTCTTCATTTCATCCTCCAGTCTTTGTTTATGGGTACTGGATTTCACAACTTCCTCACGCCAAGGGCCAATACTAGGTGTTCTCGGTTGCGCTGTTGCAGGGGAGGAGGAGTCTCTGGATTCTGTCCTAGGGTGGATCTGTGAACACGCAGCCTTTAAAGGGGAGCGGCTGGAGGCTAAGGGGCGTGGGGAGACTGTTGGTGTATTTTATAGGAAGATGCTGCATTTGTCCACACATACTGGCTGCTGTGATATAACCGTGTCCTCACGCTGGTTTACTTACTCTGTATTGTGGTTTTTGGGTCATACCATTTTTTTTTTTTTTTTTGGTTTTTTGAGACAGGGTTTCTCTGTATCTTTGGAGGCTGTCCTGGAACTCACTTTGTAGACCAGGCTGGCCTCGAACTCACTGAGATCCGCCTGCCTCTGCCTCCCGAGTGCTGGGATTAAAGGTGTGCGCCACCAACGCCCGGCTGGGTCATACCATTTTAACTTTTTCTTCTTTTGAAGAGTTTTCACATAAAAAAAAATCTGATAGTCGATTTGTAATTTCCTGTAGTTTCCGAGGATTACCCCGCCCCTTCCCTGTGTTTATGTCCCCCCCCCTTTTTTTTTTCTAGTGACAGACTTCGCTTCATGTAGCCCAGGCTGGCCTGGAAGTTTCCTTGTTTTTGTTGGTGCCTCTTGAGGGCTGGGTTATCTTTTTGGTAGCAGTCCTTCTAAAAGCTGTGCTCAGCCCTGAGTTAAATTGCTGTTGTAGCCGGTCCATACCTTTAATCCCAGGACTCCAAAGGCAGAGGCAGGTGGATCTCTGTGAATTCGAGGCCAGCCTAGTCTACAGAGAGAGTTCCAGGACAGCCTCCAAAACAATACAGAGAAACCCTGTCTCAAAAAACAAAAACAAAATAATGCTGTTACAAATAAATTAGAATCCATGCTTTTATGTAGCTCCTGGAAGCACCACAAACAGTTTCTAGGACTATGAAAGTCTGTTTTTTTCTTTTAAACCCCTTTGCTACCTTATGACTACCCCCATGGATGTGCTTACACATATATTCATAGTTACTCGCTGCCTGAGGTCTAGGAAGAGTTTCACTTCCTTTGCTTGCAAAGCTTGGCAGTTCATATATAGTCCCTGGAATAAAGGATGGAAAATTTGGGTCACTTGGGGTTTTTGTTTTTGTTTTTTCTTCCCCACATCTGACATCAGGGAAGTAGACACCCATTGTAGACACGTCAGCATTCTCTTTACAAAAGTGCACCCTGTCTTCTCTGGGCCCGTTTGTAGACTAGGTCTCCATTGTGTTCTGTGACTACTTGAGCAAAACTTCAATGTACTTCTGTAGAGTTTGAGCAGACTCTCATCTGAGGACAGGCTGGGACCCACTCAAGTGAAGTTTAACAATGCCCTGTTCCAACAGAAACCTAAAGGACTGAGACCTCCTCCTTTAGCATTCACCTTCCTTTATTTACTGGTCCCCCAGTCAATTCCATTGCCACATGTTCTTTGACATAATTGGTCACATTGGTGCGGAGTTGGTGCATGCCTGCGTTTCTAGCAGTTGGGATGCTGCATGAAGGATTGAGTTCAGGGCCAGCTTGGGCTGCTCAGGGAGTACCAGGCCACCTCAGTTACATTGCAAGACCCCATTTCAACATGCAGATCAGTCAGTTATCCGTGTGCAGTGTGAAGTTGAGATTATATTACTCTGAGTTCTATTTTGGGTATCCTTTTCATGCATGGCAGGTCTTTTTATCCTAAGCATGAAGAGATTGAAGAGAACCATTGTTTAATTCTCTCTCTCTCTCTCTCTCTCTCTCTCTCTCTCTCTCTCTCTCACACACACACACACACACACACCAAGTCTGTATACTGCTACTTGTTTGTATATAATTTCAGGGCTGATCACTCGGTATTGAATAGGCATTTGGAGGCTCTTCCTAGGGGAGAACTGTTTCTCCAGTTCTCTGCAGTCTTTACTGACCTGTAGTTCTTTTTCTAGGGTTGGGGCCTGTGAGATTTTGCATTTCCACACTGGCATTTCTGTTGGTGTGGTCCACGTTCAGGTCTTGTTTAGGAATTGAGTGGTTGGGGCTTGCTGGGTATAGCTTCTCTGACATTCCTAGGAGACACAATCTAATACCAGACATCCAGCTCCTCTGGTACTTACTCCTCTACCTGCTGTGATGCTCCCCAGGCCTCAGGTATAGGAGTTGTGTTGTAGGTGTATCAGTTGTGGCTGAGACGGTCACTTGTTTTCTGCCTTTTGATCAGTTATGTGTTTTTCTGTAATGATCTCCATCTGTTGCAAAGAGAATTTTTTTTGATGAGGGGTGAGTGCCACACCCCTCATTATCTGTGATACTTTATCTGTGCATATAGGGATGAGTGGTTAGAGTGCAGTTAGAAACTATGCTGGCTTAGTAAAGTGGCAGTCATGGGTTCTCTTCCAAGACCCATGGCCTCACTAGTTCTAGGTAGTTGCCTGGGTTTCCAGTACCAGGCATGATTTCCTTCTTGGTTAGTAAGCATTAAGTCCAGATAAGAGAGTTGTTAGTTACCTCCAAGCTGTTCTTGCATATGTTATGCTATCCTGGCTGTTTGCATCATTCAGAGGTAGCTGGGTAGCATTGTTGGTTGCTTATCTCCTTTGGAAACTTGTATGGCACCTTTTGGTACCATGAACGTTAGTCCTCAGGGAGGAGTCTTTCAGATCTGATCCTCTGGGTCCTGTGTCTGAAGTACACAGTGCCTTCAGCAGTAGGGAACTAAGGGCAACAGCAGTAGCCTATTATGCTTTAGTCACCTGTGCTCCCCCGTGAGTGTGTTAAGATCCCTTAAGTTGATAGTTTGTCATTGGTCCTTCCTGTGTTTCTACTGTTCTGGTTTATTTTCTAAAAACAAAGTCTTATGAACAATTCAGAATCAGGGAACTCACTAAATGAATGTAAGCTGCATTGGTTAGCAAATTGATAGTTGAAGTAGAAATGATAGACTCATCTAATCGTTTGGTGCCCACAATCCGCTGATACTACAATAGTTTGGGTATAAAGATAGCATTTGCAAGTAATCCACAGACATCCTCTAGTATACTTTATTTTAAATTTCTCACAATACTGGCTATAATAGAAATACTACATAACTATTAGTTTTTCTGCACTGTTATAGAGTAATAAGAAAAGTATGTGACCCCTTTCTCCAATAAGGCCACACCTACTCCAACATGGCCAAACCTCCTAATAGTGCCCTTTGTGTTTCCCTGGGGGTGGTTGTAGGGTATGGGAACTTTTCACAAAAAACAAAAAACAAAAAAAACAAAACAAAAAAACCTGAAAATGAATGAGCAGCGTTTGCCAGCTACTCTGACACCTCTCAATTCACGGCTCTTGATGGAGCTATCCCCAGGGTATATGGATTCATCCCTTTTTACCGCAGTCTGGAACTCCTGTCACTTCTCTGCCAATTCGCTAAAGTTAGCTAGTGTCCATCTGGTGAAATTATGTTGACTCTTCTGGGTATTTGCCTTTCTGTATAAATTTTAGAATGCCTTTTTGCCCTAAAGTTTAATTTAATTAATTAATTAATTTTTGGTTTTTATGAGACAGGGTTTCTCTGTATTGTTTTGGAGGCTGTCGGTCCAGCCCGCCTTGAACTCACAGAGATCTGCCTGCCTCTGCCTCCCGAGTGCACCACCACCGCCCAGCTAATTTAATTTTTTTAAAATTACATTTAATTTGTGTGTGTGTGTGTACACACTACAATATGCTTGTGGAGGTTGGAGGTCAGAGGACAACTTGTGGGAGTTGGTTCTCTCCTTCTGCCTCGTGGGTCCTGGGGAGGGAACCTAAATTGTCAATTGTGGCCTAAGTGCCCTTACCCTTTGCAGGGAGCAGTAACCACTGAGCTATTTCTCCAGCTCTCACAGTACCGCTTGTTAATCAGAGCACAGTGACCTGGTCAGGTGGTTTTGTTTGCTTTTGTCAGCTTGGCACAAACTAGAGAAGAGGGACCTCAGCTGAGACAATGCCCCATCAGATTGGCCTGTAGGACATTTTCTTGGTTGATGATTGATGTGGAAGGGCCCAGTCCCCTGGGGGAGGTGCTGTCCCTGTATCTACCTGCTACTTTCATGTCACATGTATTGTACTGTCGCTCCTCTGTAAGGTCTCGTTCCCTTCAGAGGCTCCTGTCCAGCTCCCTGACCTCCACAAACACCCCAAGTGAAGTGTACAGATCTGAAAACTCAGAGCTAGGATAGTGTACTAGAGAGAACGTGTGGCCTTTGTCTTTCCGGGCCTCAGTATAACTTTTCTCAATTCCACCCATCTCCCTGCAAAATTTCTTTTTCTTTACAGCTGAATAAAACACCACTGTGTATATGCATTTCATTGTCCACTCGTCAGCTGGTGGGTATCGAGGCTGATTCCATTTCCTAGCTATTAGAATAGTGCAGCCATGATCATAGATGAGCAAGTGTCTCTGTAGTAGAACATGGAGCCCTCTGGGTTGATGCTGGGACATGTGGTGGTCTATTTTTAGCTTTTTGAGAAACCTTCACACTGGTTTCTGTGGTGGCTATACCAGTTTATACTCCCACCAACAGTGACTCGGTGTTCTCCTTTCTCTGAATCCTCAGTATCACTTGTTTCTTTTCTCAAGATTTATTTATTATTATACAGTGCTGCTTGTATGCCTGCAGGCCAGAAGAAGGTACCAGATCTCATTACAGATGGTTGTCAGCCACCAAGTGGTTGCCGGGAACTGAACTCAGGACCTCTGGAAGAACAGCCAGTGTTCTTAATCTCTGAGCCATCTCTCCAGCCCCGTCATTTGTTTTCTTGATTATACCCATTCTGACTTTGGTGAGATGGAATCTCAGAGTATTAAATTTGCATATCCTTGATGGCTAAGGACATTGAGCCATCTTGAAAGTATTTATTGGCCATTTGTCTTTCTTCTTTGGAGAACTCTGACCAGTTCCTTAGCCCATTTTTTTTTTTTGATTTGGTTGTTTGTTTTATTTTTGTTTAGTTCTCTGTGCTATCAACTTTTATTTCAGGAGCTGTTGTCATTCAAGGATGTGTCCATTGATTTCTCTCCAGAGGAGTGGGAATGCCTAGACCCTGCTCAGTGGAATTTATATAGAAATGTGATGTTGGAGAATTACAGAAACCTTGTCTCCCTGGGTGAGGATCTCTCATCTACAGAATTCCTAATTCCCTCTCAACATCTGATTTCCCTTCTCTGTAGAGTGTTTTCTATGAAGGCAGTTGACATAAGGGAAATATTTAGGGATTTGAGGGTCTGGAGAAGATCATTTTAATTGTATTTATGTTGAAATCTTCTTCAGGAAGTGTTTCTTCTTCACCTAGATCAGTGGTTCTCAACCAGTGTGTCTTGACCCCCTCCCCACAGGGGTCACCAGTTAGATATCCTACATAGCAGCATTTACAATTCATAACAGCAGCAAAATTACAGTTATGAAGTAGCAACAAAATAACCTTATGGTTGGGGGTCCCCACAGCATGAGGAATTGTATTAAAGGTTCGTGGAATTAGGAAGGTTGAGAACCACTGCTCTAGATGAGCTGTGACTTCAGAAACTTGCTGGCATGAGACGTTGTGGCTGTTTCTTGAAGCCCATTTTGGATTGGTCATGTGTGCAAGTGAAACTTAGCATCTCCAAGTGAAAATCCCTCCCTCCCTCCTCCTCCTCCTCCTCCTCCTCCTCTTCTTTCTCCTCCCCCTCCTCCTCCCCTCTCCTCCTCTTCTTTCTCCTCCTCCTCCCCTCCTCTTCTTTCTCCTCCTCCCCTCCCCTTCCTCCTCCTCCTCTTTCTCCTCCTCTTCTTCCTCCCCCTCCTCCCCCTCCTCCTCTTCCTCCTCTTCCTCCTCCTCTTCTTCTTTCTCCTCCTCCTTCTCCTCTCACTCCTCCTCCTCCTCTCCCTCCTCCTTCCTCCTCTTCTTCTTGGTTTTGGTTTTTCTCTGTTTAGCCCTGGCTATCCTAGAACTCACTCTGTAGAACCAGGCCGGCTTTGAATTCAGAGATTTGCCTGCCTCTGCCTCCCAAGTGCTAGGATTAAAGATGTTTGCCTCCATCACCTAACAGACATAATCTAATGTATTTGGCAGGGAATAATCAGAAATCATTTCCTCAAATCTCCTTTTATATCTCTTCTTTTCTCCCAGAACAGTATGGTTAGAGAAATGTTATCACTCATTAGGAGACCCTTAACCAAACATGGTTCTCTGTTTTGTAATAAACAGGCCTTACTGTGTGTAAGCCCTACCTGATCTCATTGCTGGAGCAGGGACTGGCGCCTTGGAATGTGAAGAGACAAGAGTCAGGAACCATGTACCCAGGTAGGTAGGAACGACACGAGAAGAAGGCACCCGAGAAGCCATGCTTTTAGATGGGGATTGGGAAGGTCTGTTTCAATGGAAATGAGTTTTCAGGAGCCCCTGGAGTTGGATTCACAGATGGCTGTGAGCTGCCTGCCATGTGGGTGCTAGGAACTGAACCTGGGTTCATGCTCCAAATTGTTGAGCCATCTCTCCAGCCCCCCCCCCTTACAGGTTATACTTTGTAACCTTTAAGAGTACAGATAACCAATTAAAACGATAGTAATGTAAAACCTATCAGCTGTTCCTATTTCTGTGGACTGGGACCATCCAGATACTACACCTTTGAACTATGTAGAGTTCATTAGAGTCATTCAAGTAGGTTTTTGTTTTCTGTTTTCTGTAGGGTTTTATTTTTATCTTTCCTGTTAGAAATGCTTACTCATATTCCTGCTTACAGCTTCTTGGGCTCAGGCTGGAGGGAAGTCTGTGGTTGAGAGTGAGTCCTGCTTCTGTAGAAAACCCAAATTTGGTTCTCCGTGTTCAGGTTGGGTGGCTCTCAATTTCCCATAATCCAGGGCTCCATTGCCCCCTTCTGGCCTCTGCAGGCACTGCCCTCAACATGTACATACCTGTACACAAATGCATACATACATTTAAAAAAATCTTTTAAAAAGATTCTATAGTCTCCTCTTCTCTGGTTGACTATATGAGTTAGTACCATCTTGTTGATACTGTAATGATTACTTAGGTTTAGGCTTAGTCTTCCCACTCTGACCTAATGTCCGAGCATTCCTGTTATCTCTTCCTCTGTGGTGCAGGATATACGGACATTCCCCATCAGGGAGTCTGCAGACACTTCATGAATGTACTCATCTGTTCTTCTCGTTTTCTTTCCCAAGACAGCAGCCTGATGTGGCAAGTTGTTTTTGTTTTGGGGTGTTGGTAGAGTGCTGTGATTAATAAGTAGTGTAACAGGCTTTTCAGCAGTACCCATGGGGAAATGGAGAGGCCATTATGTTTGCTGTTCTGCTGTCTGGAGGACATGCTGCTTGCCATGGGATTGAGGTTAGATTCAGAAACAATTCACCTTAGTGTAGTAACTGATGGGATTTGTTATTTTGAGTTCCTGCAGGTATTGCTTCTCATTATATCCTAGGCTCTTCACAAAAGCAGGGCAAAAACTCACTTATTCCAAAATATGATAAGAAGAAGCAGAAGTTATTGCCTTGACAGTTTGCATTAAAGAAAGATAGAAATGTAGCAAGCCTTCAAATATCAACCAACCCTTGCTTGACACCAATTTTTCACAGAGTAAAACCCTCCAAATATAAAAAAGACTTCAGTAATAAATATCTCAGCAGGCTTTCTCTGTGGCTTTGGAAACCAGGCTGGCCTCAGAGTCACACAGATCCGCCTGCCTCTGCTTCCCAAGTGCTAGGATTAAAGGTGTGCGCCGCCAGTGCCTGGCTAATAGTTCAACTCTTGATTGACACCAGAGAGTTCTCGTAGGAGAGAAGCTGTACAAATACCAGTGGATGTGAAGGCTAGAAAGCATTTTACAGTCAGAATGAGGCAACTGCACAGCAGAAACCCATTGCCAACAGAGGTCAAGCACACACAGCATCTCAGAAAATCACTGTTAAGAAGCCGTATGTTTGATTAAATGTCCACTTCATGCTTGGAAACATAACTTTCCTCTTAAGTGAGATGTGGGTGATTCTTAGAATGCGCCCATTCCATGTTTTAACTAAGATCCTGAATAACTGAAATATAGCTGGGCCGAACTTTGAATCAAATATTCCTTTAGAAACGAGATTTAAGAATGAAGAACACATTTTAAATTGTGATTGTCTTTTTGAAGACTCATTATTCTGTCACCAGCAAATTTGTTTTCTCTGCACCAAAATACATAGTTTCAATAAATGCAGTAATGTGTTGTTGTTTTGGTTTGTTGTTGTTTATTTTGAGACAAGGTTTCACTGTGTAGCCCAGGCTATCCCAGTACTTGGTGTGGAGCCCATACTCACCTTGAACTCTCCGTGATCTTCCTGCTTTACCTTCCTACATGCTGAGCTTACAGGTGTGAGCTCCTGCCTTCAGTTAGCTACCCGTCAGTTGTTTTCTATGTCCAAATCCAGACTCAGGTACTTAGAGAATGCAGTATATGCGTAATGAAAATAGGAAGATCATTAGTGAGGCTGGGAAATAACGAGTTGGAGAGAAAATGTTGTTAGTGTAATGAAAGTCGTAGCTTTACGCACGGTTGAAATTGTATGTCCTCTTTTCTCCCCAGAAAATCTTTGTGACTGTAACGACTCTGTAAAAGCCTTTGATCAGCACACAAAACTCAGCATCCATCAGTGTGTGCATGGTGAAGAGAAGCCATACAAACACGAAGAACATGGCAAAGGCTTTACTGATGATTCGGCATCTGATCAGCATCACAGGGTGCACAAAGGAGATTTGCCCTACCAATGTAAAGATTGTGACAAAGCTTTTAAATACCGCTCAATCCTCTACCAACACCACATAATTCATACTGCTGCAAGACCCTACAAATGTAAAGAGTGTGGCAAAGCCTTCAAGAGAAGTAGAAACCTTATACAACACCAGACAACTCACAAGAGAGAGAAACCATACAAATGTAAGAAGTGTGGCAAAGCCTTTACTACACATTCCATGCTTACTCAACACCAGATAATTCACACTGGAGAGAAACCCTACAAATGTCAAGAGTGTGGGAAAGCCTTTAAATATAATTCAACCCTTACTCAACACGAAGTTATCCATACTGAAGCAAAGCCCTACACATGTCTGGAATGTGGCAAAGCCTTCAAGAGAAGTCACACCCTTAGTCAACATCAGATAATTCATAAGGGAGAAAAACCATACAAATGTAAAGAATGCGGTAAGGCCTTTATTAAGCACTCATCTCTTACTCAACACCAAGTAATTCATACTGGAGAGAAACCCTATAAATGTAAAGAGTGTGGGAAAGCCTTCAGATATCAGTCAACCCTGACTCGACACCAAATTGTTCATACTGGGGCAAAACCCTACAAATGTCAAGAGTGTGGCAAAGCCTTCAATAATAGCTCAACTCTTACTCGACACCAGATCATTCACACGGGAGAGAAGTCCTACAAATGTCAGGAGTGTGGGAAAGCCTTTTACTGTTCCTCATTCTTGATCCAGCATATGAAACTTCATTTTGAAGAGATGCCCTATAGATGCAAAGAGTGTGGTAAACCCTTTAGGCTTTCCTCACAGCTCATTCGACACCAGAGAATCCATACTGGAGAGGAACCTTATGTGTGTAAAGAGTGTGGCAAAGCCTTCAAGTACCACTCAAACCTGACTCGACACCAAATACTCCACACTGGAGCAAAACCCTACAAATGTCAGGAGTGCGGCAAAGCCTTCAATAATAGTTCAACACTTACTCGACACCAGATAATTCACACGGGAGAGAAGTCCTACAAATGTCAGGAGTGTGGGAAAGCCTTTTACTGTTCCTCATACTTGATCCAGCATATGAAACTTCATTTTGAAGGGATTCCCTATAGGTGTAAAGAGTGTGGCAAACCTTTTAAGTGTTCCTCACAGCTTATTCGACACCAGAGAATGCATAGCGGAGAGAAGCCCTATGTGTGTAAGGAGTGTGGTAAAGCCTTCAGCTGTACTTCATACCTTAGCAAGCATCAGCGAATTCACTCTAGGGAGAAGCTCTACAGGTGTGAAGAGTGTGGCAAAGCCTTCAGCTGTTCTTCCTATCTTTCCAAACATCAGAGAATTCATATTGGAGACAGACTCTATAAATGTAAAGACTGTGGCAAAGCCTATTACTTTTCTTCACAGCTTAACCGACACCAAAGGATTCACACTGGAGAGAAACCCTACATATGTAAAGAGTGTGGCAAAGCCTTCAACTATTCTTCGTATCTTAGTAAACATCAGCGAATCCATGTTGTAGAAAAACTCTATGTATGTAAGGAGTGTGGCAAAGCCTTTAACTGTTCTTCATACCTTACTAAACACCAGAGAATTCACACTGGAGACAGATTTTACAAATGTAAAGAGTGTGGCAAAGCCTATTACTTTTCCTCACAGCTTAACCGGCACCAGAGGATTCATACCAGAGAGAAACCCTATCGATGTAAAGAGTGCAGCAAGGCCTTTTTCACTTCTTCCAGCCTGAAACGGCATCAGGAAACTCATATGCTAGTGAAATCCAGCAGGGTGGAGAACTTGGCAAAGCAAGAATAGCAAGATGTTTGTCACTGGGTAGTTCATAAAGGAGAAAAGGCTACAATGCAGTTCAGGACTTGAACAGCTGCTGGATCTCTACGTCACACCAGAAGGCTCATTTATGCAGGAGACACTGCAAGTGTGATAAATTCAGCAAAACCTTTAACAGGTGTGTGGCAGTTACTCCATGGTAAATGATCCACAGTGGAGAACAACTTACAGATGTGACAATATGGCTTGGCCTTTGATGACAGCCCTTTCTTATTGGACAGCAGCAAATTCATAGCAGAAAGACCACCGTCCTATGTGTGGACCTCAGAAAAGTCTAATACTGTACCATAAATCCCCTCACGAGATAAAAAAGTTAACAAAGCTTTCACTAATACCTCAGATCTTTTCTTGATGACAGCCCATACCTCAATAAACCTTGATGTATATAAAGAATTGTCATAGCACAGAACTCTTAGGACTATGTAGAATGTGGCCAAACTTGGAACTTCTGCTTATCACTAATCAGTGGGGTGGAAAGAAATATATCTCACAGGTGGCAGAGTTATGCGAACTCATCTCTGAAAAGATGGAATTTGCTATACATTCAAATATGCTAAATAACTTCACTGTTAAAAACTACACAAAACTTGGCCCTTGGGCTGCTTTCTGTGAAGTTTTCAACTGTTTTCTCCAGAGAGCATAAAATGGATTTTGAAAAACCATATATTATGGTGTATATTATGTATAAGCTTTATTTTAGTACATACATGGAGTGAATGGTTCTTGTCTCTCTGATATGTATTGCCTGACATGTTATTTTGTCAGATATTAGACCATCTTATCGAAGTATGTACATAACAGATCTTAGTAATATTTTGTTGCGGAATAGTGAATTACTGGTATTTTTTTTTCAGTTTTTAGGGATTGGATGACTGATAATTCTTGTTCTCAGTGTCCTTATCCTTCAAACAGATGTGTAGATTTGAAGATTTTCTTGTGTGATATTTTATTCCATCCTTTTTTCACTTACTAGAAATTATGAGGAATGTAAAAGGGTAAAAAAGTGTTCTAGCTTTCTGAATCTTAAGTTATTTATAATTTTTTTTTGGTTTTACGAGACAGGGTTTCTCTGTATTGTTTTGGAGGCTGTCGGTCCAGCCTAGCCTCGAATTCACAGAGATCCGCCTGCCTCTGCCTCCTGAGTGCTGGGATTAAAGGCGTGCGCTACCACCGCCCGACTATAATTTTTTATCATATGGTTTTTATTCACACATCACCCCTTAGTTATACAAAGAATACAGAAATATTGGTATTCATTTGTGTTGACTGTGACATACAAATCGAAATCTAATGATTAATTCTAGGAGTAGGACTAAAGAAACACCACACTTCATGGATAATAATTAAGAATAAAAGGAAGGGCCGGGCTTTGGAGCCTATCCTGGCACTCTCTCTGTAGACCAGGCTGGCCTCGGACTCACAGAGATCCGTCTGCTTCTGACTCCCGAGTGCTGGGATTAAAGGTGTGCGCCACCAACACCTGGCTCCAAAAATATTTTTAAGGGAGTAGAAACCTTGTGGGTTTTTTTGGGGGGGGGCGGTGGGAATACAGTCTATTTTGTATAAATGGAACTCATTTTAAAATTTCATTATTCTTAGTTTAGAATAGTTACTTCCTGGTTCTACTTCTGTTAGTCAAGAAAGACATATATGAGTTCAAGTTTATGACTTTGTTTCTGTAACAGTTTGTTGGTTGTGACTCTCCTCTGGGCCAACAACCAGAACTTCAGGAGTTTAGCTGTGCCTGTTTGCAAATGATCATCGCAGCTGAGTCTGTTGACTGACCCCTCATAGGAGAAGGTTGGTCAGGGGACTCTCATCTAAGTTTACAGCACTCCATAATGTCAGTTGTATGCAGTTTTGCCCTAATTGCATGTGGTCTTGAGGAAGGACTTGGAAATATAGGCAAGGGAAGAATGGAGGAGGGGCTTCATCTATGTTGCTGTGGGAAACCCACGGCAACTTCTGGGTAAAGACTTACCCGAACAGGCTTTTGTAGGGAAAAGCACCCACACTATAAGTAACCCCTTACCTATGCTCTGTAAGTAAGTCTAATAAACTCATTGGTTCTCCAGAGTGACCTTAGATGATATAATACCTCTGATTGATTGTTGTTGCAACTTCATGAGAAGGGATAGATTTGTTTGTTTGTTTGTTTTTCAAGACAGGGTTTCTCTGTGAAATAGTCCTGGCTGTCCTGGAACTCACTCTGTAGACTAGGCTGGCCTTGAACTCACGGAGATCTGCCTGCCTCTGCCTCCCAAGTGCTGGAATTAAAGGCACACACCACTACCGGCTGGCCAAGAAGAGATAGATGTTTACATCCTCCCTCTGGGAAGGGATTTTTAGCAACACTTGGTGTAGCTGGCAGAATACAACAAAACCAAGGAAGAGTAATGTGTTGTGCCTGATCGGAAGAATGAGAGAACCAAAGTGAAGTGTGTGTGTGTATGTGTGTGTAGAAAATGTTAGCGTTATAGTGGCGAGATATGGACAATGCTCAGGATAGTGAGACATGTAACTAAGGTTACATGTAACTCAGCTCCTGGGGCAGGAGCTGTCAGTGGGGGAAGTTCCAGGACCGCCGTCTTCTTGTAGATGGTACGGAGAGGCACCTGCCTGGTATGTGGGGTCCTCCGTGAGGGTGTGCTAAGGGTACAGAGAAGCTTTAAGGAGAATTGAAGCATTAGAGCTGTGTTGGCTAATCTGTGTCAGCTCGAGTCCCCTGGGAAGAGGGAACCTAGTTCAGCAAATGCCCCCACCAAATTGGCCTGTGTAGGCTTTCTTGATTGATGTTTGATGTGTGAGGAGCTAACACAATGGGCAGGGCCACCCCTGGGATGGTGGTCCTGGGAGCTATGAGAACGCAGGTTGGAGGCTGGAGAGATGGCTCAGCAGTTAAGAGCACTGACTGCTCTTCCACAGGACCTGGGTTCAATTCCCAGCATCCACATGGCAGCTTATACTGTAACTCCAAGATCGAACACCCTCACGCAGACATATGTGCAGGCAAAAACACCAATGCACATAAAAAATAAGTTAAAAAAAAAAAGCAGGCTGAGTTCAAGGCCAGCCTGGTCTACAGAGTGAGTTCAAGGACAGTCAGGGCTACACTGAGAAACCTTGTCTTGAAAAAACAAACAAAAAACCCAAATCAAAAACAGGAAAGACAGGAAGGAAAGAGGGAGGCAGGGAGGGAGGGAGGGAGGAAGCAGGCTGAGCAAGCCGTGGGGAACAAGCCAGTAAGCAGCTCTCCTCCATGGCCCCCGCTTCAGTGCCTACGCTGAGTTCCATCAGTGTGCATAAATGACCGCTGTCAACCTTTCTGGTAGATTTTAAGAAGTTGCTTTCTACTTCTGTTTGCTGCTTTCAGTAAGGAATAAGAGTTCTGCGTCATCTGGATCTGCAGGCAGCAGGAAGAAAGAGAAGGTGAGCCCCTGGAGCTTCTGAAACCTCAAAGCCCACCCCCACCCCCCAGTGACACACTTCCTCCAACAAGGCCACGCCTACTCTAACGAGGCCACACCTCCTAACGTGCCACTCTCTGTGGGCCTATGGAGGCCGCTTTGATTCGGACCCCCACATCTCCTGAGTGATGGCGGCCTCTCTCAGCACATGGTTTCGTTGTGCTCTATAGCTTCCCCCACTCCTACCCAAGCTGCACATTTTGTGTTTACTCCCCCGCCCTTGCCGCACTTTTCCACCGTGGATTTGCATAAGCGTGATCAACAACGACCGCACTTAGACTCAGCGTCGTGTTGTCTTGAAATTTCCTCTGCAAAAGGAATTAGTGCCTTCCTCTCTAACGTGGCCTCACACAGATCATCAGGGCATGGACAGAGTGGTCAGATTCTTTGCCAAGACGTCACACAAATGGCCCCCAGCCCAACTGTTGATAGAATCGTTGTTCCCCCTTGTGACGTCATGAGCTGGGTCTCCGCTGTCTGCATTATTCTCAGCGCTTCTGTCTTCCAGGCTCCCACTAAAACAAACTCTTAGGTTCTTCAGACCGAGTTCAGCTACTCTTCCAATCCAAAGTTCCGAAGTCCTCCACAATCCTTCCGACAAAACCAAACCAAACCCCGAACAAGAAAAAATAAGCAACTGTGATCGGGTTCTTCACAGCAATAAGACGGTGTCAACTCAGCTCGGCAATCTGACGTCGGCGCCTTGTAACAGTACAGTGGAACTTTATCACGCACAGTAGAGTATTGTAGTTCCTCACTTCAGTTCTGTGATGCCACCAAGAGAATTGTCATGTGAAAGAGCATTGTGATATTAAAATTTGGCATTATGTCACACCGCCCATGGAACATTGTGATGCCAGAACTCAGTATATGACAATGGGACATTGTAACAGTGGGAATTTGACATCACAGTGGAAAATTGTCACATCACAATGAAATACTGTGACGTTATAATTCAACATTGTGATGTCATGGGAACCTTGTCATGTCACAATGAATCTTTGTGATGGCACAATGCATCATTGTGGTGTCACAATTCAGAATTTTCATTATTTATTTTATGACAAAAGGGGAGCACTGTGATGACACAATTCAGCTTTGAATCTTTTTTTTTTTTTTTTTTTTTTTTGGTTTTTCAGAGACAGCGTTTCTCTGTATTACTTTGCAGCGTGTCCTGGAACTTGCTCTGTAGACCAGGCTGGCCTCAAACTCACAGAGATCTGCCTGTCTCTGCCTCCCAAGTGCTGGGATTAAAAGTGTGCGTCCCCAACTCCCAACCAATTCAGCTTTATTATGGAAACATAAAGTCTAGTAATAGCACAATGGAGTATCGTAATGTCACAATCTAGCAACACTGTGATGTCAAATTTCAACGCTTTTCTCATGGTGAAATGGAGCAGTGTGAAGCCACGGCTCAGAATGATGTCACAGTGCTGCGTCGGTGTGTCTGTCATAAGGCAGCAGTCACGCCATCACTTCACAGAGCAGCATTGAGACAGCACAAGGTGGAAGAGGAAAAGAAAGGCACAAAGAGGCCGCTGGGCCATGAGGTGGGTTTGCTTTGGAAACCTGAGAAGGGCTCTCCCCAGCTGTGAGAGCACACACTTCTCTTTCAGGCTGGGGAGTGTATCAGGACCGGAGAGTGGATTGGTCCAAAGGTCTAGTTCAGCCAGGCAGTGTTAATAATTAAATAGGATGTGCAGGAATGGTATTAGCGGTGTTGACGTAAGGAAATTGATGTTGGGAAGCTGAAATCGTTAGCCACGGTAAGGGGGTGATGTTCAAGCTGAGATGGAGTTTACAGGGGCTGGGGTGCTATTCTGGCTGGAGTGAGAGTGCCTCTAAGGTGTGTTCTTGTTTTCTCACCAGTGAGCTATATGACGGTACTAAGGACATTTTCATGGCACAATGAGGCATCGCGATCAAATACAGCATTGTGAGATTTACAATTCAACATTGTGTCATCAAAATTCGGCATTGCACCAACACAGCAGAGCACCGCGACGGCATGATATAGCATTGTGAAGTCACAATTGAGCATGACGTTAGCATGATTGATGACTGTGGTGTCAAAACTGAGCATTGTGATGCCACAACAGAGGGGACTTTGAACAATTTAACATTATACTGAAGGACTATGACATTTCGTGGAGTGTTGTCACATCCCCAGTGAGAACTGAGATGACCCAGCATGTAAACCATTTTGATGCTGCAAATTCAGCAATGTGATGTCACAGCGTCACACTGTGGTGGCACTGCAGATTATAATGATGGAATAGTGAAACGTTTGGATGTCACAAGTCAGCACTGTAATGATACAAAATTGTCATGGAGTCATGTGATCTGTTGATGGTGTGGGGGAGCATGGTGGTGACACATTGCAGAATAGTGATGGATTGCAGCAGATACCAAAATTCAGGTGTGTGAAGACACAGTGTGGGATTAGAATGCCAACATTCAGCACCGCGGTGGAACAATTACAGTGTTAGGTCACCATCGAGTATTAGCACAAAGGAGCACTGACGGAATACTTAGCACTAAGATGACACAGCGAAACGTTATGATGTCACAATTAAGCATTATTACGGCATAAGGAGGCACTGTCCCGGCATCACAGAGCATTATTAAGGACACTGCAGCTAAGTGATGCCCAAATCCGTCACTGTGACGTCATAAACAGCTCTGTGGTGGTAAAATAGAGCGCTGTGACAGCACACCTGACCCCTGGAGGATCACAGTGTGCCTTAGTCAGGGTCACCATTGCTGAGAGGACACGCCTTGACCAAAGGAACCTAGGAGGACAGAGTCTGTTTTGCTCACGTTTCTGCATCGCCATTCGTCAGAAGTCAGGATAGGGACTCAGACAGGGCAGGGACCAGGAGGCGGCCGCTAAGGCAGAGGCAGCTCCTCAGATGGGGCTCCCTCCTCTCTGATGATCTTAGCTGTGTCAGTTGACATAAAACTTGCCGGCACACCGTGCACTAGTGTACTGTCACGATGGTGGATTGCGGTGTTACAACCGACCATCGATACAATGCAGTGTAAAGACGGTGTGATGGAGCATTGGGGTGGAAAACGCAGCACTTTATGTGTGACCGTTGTGCTGGCTAGTTTTATATCAGCTGGACACAAACTAGAGTCACTGGAGGAGGGAGCCTTAACTGAGAAAATGCCTCTATAAGGTCGGGCTATAGGAGGCCTGTAGGGCATTTTCTTAATTAGTGATTGATGGGGGAGGAGGGGCCAGCCCACTGTGGGTGGGGCCAGCCCCGGTTCTATAAAGAAGTAAGCTGAGCAAGCCATGAGGAGCCTGAGCAGCATCCTCCACAGCCTCTGCATCAGCTCCTGCCTCCAGGTTCCGGCCCTGCCTGAGTTCCTGTCCTGACTTCCTTCAGTGACCAACAATGATATGGAAGTGTAAGCCAAATAAACCCTTTCCTCATCAACTTATCACAGCAATGTAACCCTGACTAAGACAACCATTCATCTTCTTTTTTTTCACATCAGAACTGATCATTGTGATGTTACTGCTGGCACTAGGATGACAAAATAGAGAATTATGATATCACAATGAAAATTGGGATGTCAGAATTGAGCATTACGCTATCACAATGAGGCATTGTGAGGACACAATTGGACTTGTGTTGTGACACTGTATTATGGTGTCATCAGAGAATTGTAATGTCACAATGGGGTTATGTCACAAAAGAACATTTTAATGTCCCTTATTATGCCACATTGGGTTGGCATAATGAAGTGTTGTGATGTCAGAGTGGTGCATTGTGATATCAGAGTGGTGCATTGTGATGTCAGAGTGGTGCATTGTGATGTCAGAGTGGTGCACTGTGATGACAAATTGTGTGCTGTGATAACACAGTGTTGCACTATGACATCACAATGCAGCACTGTGATGTACCAACTGATATAAAATGGAGCATTATAATGTCATAATTCACCTTCTGATGGCCACGTGAGTGATGTGATGTCACAAATCAATATGATGGCACATTGGAGCATTGTGATTCAACAACAGAGCATTAAATTATCAAAACTGTCCTTTGTGATGTCACACACAACAGAGCGTGGCTATGTCACAGTGAAGGGCTGTCAGTGACACAATGGGGCACTTTGATGTCATCTTAGGTGTTTGCAGTGGCGCAGTGGAGAATTCTGATGTCAGAATGGGACACTGTGATGTCAAAATTCAACACGGTAACGTCATAATTCACACTGCTATGATACAGGTGTGCACTGTGACACCACAATGCAGTATTCTGCCAGCACAATGGAGTACTGGAATGGCACACTGGAGCATTGTAATGTTGCAATTTGGCATTGAGGTGGCACAATACGGGACATTGGCAGAGGCAGCACTGTGATGGCCTCATGGACCTTTGTGATGACAGAAAGCTACATTGTGATGTGAAAACTGAGCACTGGGACCCACACTGGACTCATTCCGCGTCTGTTGATGTCATGTAAAACACCGTAACCAACACAGCTTACAAAGGAATGAGCTTCCACTGGCCTACACTTCCATACGGTTAGAATCTGTGACGACGCAGTGGAGTCTTGGCGGCCAGCACAAGACATGCCAGCAGGAACAGCTGAGCGCCCACGTCTTCAACTGCACGCAGGAAGTAGAGGGAGCAAACGGGATGGCACGGGCTTTTGAGCCACAGTCATCTAACTTCCTACTTCCTGTTTTGAAGACAGGGTCTCACTGTGTACTTTATCTGACCTTGAACTCTTAGCAATCCTCTTGCCTCCAGAGTTTTGGGATTTCAGGTGTGGCTCACCAGTCTCCAAACTCCCCGTTTCTTTTATTGTGAACCTACGCTTCTGACTCCCTGGGGTCACCAAGTTTTACCATCAGGGCATGGTGGCACACACCTGTAGTCCCAGGACTCTGGAGGTTGAAGCAGAAGAATAGATTGCGAATTCCAGATGGTGAGACCCTGCCTTAAAACAAAAGATGGTCAAAGTCCTTGGGAGGCTGGGGCAGGAGGATTGCTGCAATTTGGTTTACTTGGGGCTTTGTTGTGAGGTCTTGGCCAGCCTGAGCTCTAAGAGTGATATGATACCCTGCTTCAAAACGAGATCACGAGCAATGAAGTTTTGTGAGCCTATGTCCTGTCCGTGGTGTTCAGGCCAAGAACAAGACTCCTACATTGCTTGGCTGGTGTTGGATCTAGTATATGATTCCGGGCGAGGGGGGACTGATAATTTTAAGTAACAAAGATTCTTTCCTGGTTCTACAGACATGCATGGAGATGGATTTGGGGCAATGGGGTCCTTTAATAATGGCAGCCGCTCACAGAAGCGATGGCTGTGGATGGCATGTGTGTCAAGCTGGGATAGGAGATCTAACACAACCAGAACAAAGGAAATCCCTTATGTTTAGAGCCTTCAGAGGGTAAGGTATAACCGATACCTGAATTTATATAGGATTGTCTGGGCTTAGAAGGCAGGGGACACGGAGTTTAGAAGATTGGTGTATTAGTTAGGGTTGCTATTGCTCTGAAGAAACACCAGGACCAAAAGCACCGCGGGGAGGAAAAGGTTTATTTTCATTAGGTTTATACTTCCCATTATACTTCCCATTACTGTTCATCATCAAAGGAAGTCAGGGTAGGAATTCAAGCCAGGAACCTGGAGGCAGGAGCTGATGCAGAGGCCATGGAGGGAGCTGCTCACTGCTTACTCCTCATGGCTTGCTCACCCTGCTTTATTACAGAACCCAGGACCACAACCCAGGGATAGCATCACCTACAATGGGCTGGGTCCTCCCCCACCAATCACTACTTAAGAAAATTCCCTTCAGGCTGATCTTACAGAGACATTTTCTCAGTGGAGGTTTGCTCCTCTCCAGTGACTCTAGCTAGTGTAACGTTCACATAAAACCAGCCAGCACAATTACTGGAGGTACTACACAGGACATAAGGCAGCAATTTTGGAAGTTAATTTTATTGTCCTACTTGGCCTCGGGGCAGACACATGCTGGGTTAGCAGATTACAGAAAAGGTATGGCCTTCTAGGTGGTGGTGGGGGCACACGCTTTTGATCCCAGCACTTGGGAGGCAGAGGCAGGCGGATCTCTGTGAGTTCGAGGCCAGCCTGGTCTATAGGGCGAGTTCCAGGACTACACAGAGAAACCCCAGTACTATGTCATGTTTTGACTCATTTACTTTCCCTCATCTAAATCCACCTCCATCAAGTAGTACGAGGCTCAGACAGAGAAGGGACTTGGGAAATGCCTGGCAAAGCTTACACCTAGCAACAGTCCAGCATGGAGGGAGTTCCTACCAGCTAAGTGGAAACAAGTGTTTGTGAGCAGCTTCCCACCCAAGGGTGCTGTGTGTTGTGGCCCAGAGGAGACCGAGAGAGAGGGTTTCAGGGGTCCTAGCATTACCTGTATCTTCTGGCCCCAAAGGACTGCCATCTATGGGCATCTGCAGCTCCTCTGTGGGCCCCAAGCTGGCCTGTGAGCCTGCAGCTGTCACAGGTGTCACTGGCCTTTTCCTCTTTCCGACGGGCTCAGCCTGACATAAGCAGCAGCCACCTGCAGTTGATGCGAGGGAGATGCCTTGGGGGACATCTTGAGGGCACGCAGAGCAGTGAAGGGCAAGTAGAGGCTCCCATGGGGCCATTGGGTCAGAGTCTGGAGCAGAGCAGGATGGAGGACATCATAGCCCTCCAGGCCCTTGGCTTTAGGGTGAGAACCCACGGAATCGACCATCTGCCAGTTCCTACCCCAGTTTTCCCCCCCCCCCCATCTTCACAGCCTCTACCTAGCGGCCACAGGGGCTTTGTGCTCACCTGGTCTGTGACAAAGCACAGATTCCAGAAGGAGAAAACATTAAAGGGGGCGGTAATGTTGGAGGAGAGATGACTCAGTGATTGAGAGCGCAGGCTGCTCTTCCAGAGGACCTGGGTTCAAGTTCCAGCACCCACATGGTAGCTCCCAACTGTCTGTAACTCACAGGGGCTCTAACCACTTTCCTGGCTTCCATGGGTGCTGGGCACATATGTGGTGCACAGTCATACATGCACAGATGCAATGAAAACACGTAATAATAACAGCAGAAAAGCATTAAAGCAGCCTGCATGCAGCCAGGCACGGTGGTTTAACCCTGCAATCCTAGCACTCAGTAGACACAGCAGGAAGGACACAGCGGTGCTTAGCTCAGCCTGCGTCTACACAGAGCATCCCAGGCCACACGGAGCCACTTACTAGTGAGACTCTGGCTTAAAAAAGCAAGTATCTCAGAGGCAGCAGGAAAGTAGTTTAGGGCCGAGACATAGCTCAACAATGAAAGGCTT